AATTATAAGTCTTAACCTCTATTGTATTTAAGATTGAGCTGTTTGTTGTTGGGTCGAGAAACCAAGTTTTGAGTGTGGAGTGATTTGGTTATAAGTCTTTTAGAACGTGACAATGGTAAGTGAAAGAAGAATAAGTTTGTAATTGGGAATTAATTGATGTAAGTGACTTTACAGCCGGAACGCAATAGTGTAGATTACGTATAAATTTGTAGTTGGGAATCAATTGACCAAAGTGCCTTTATAGTTGGAACTTAAGTTAGGATAATTATGTAATTTTCTAACCTTATTAAAACAGTGTATGCTACGTTGCATTAGACCTAGTTCGATTTTGTAACATATATGTGGTGACCGTTTCGATATAATAATATTCTAAAATCACGCGGTGAAGTGATGTGATTGGATAAGATTTGGGATGGATATAGATTCGGGCCCATCCCTAAATTAAATTTCATATATTCTACTTTTTTTTTTTTAATGATTATTTAATTCAATATTTATATTCCACTTATTATAGATTAATTTAATCCAATATATATATTATTACTTTATAATTTTTATTCCATATTCCACCTATTACAAAAAATAATAATAATTAGAGATACCAAAAAGGAAAAATGCTTTATAATTATGATACGTTTAAAAATAAATGAACTAACCAAAATTAATTTCATAAAATAGTTAATTGATTATAATCATTACAAATAAAATTTTGTATTACCTTAATTTAATTAACTAGTTAATATATTTGGGATGTGGTTCTTCATTAATCACAACAATTTTGGTAAATTAATATCTATATTTTAAAATAAAAATCAATTAAGGAAAAGGAACAAAAAAATTAAAAAAAAAAAAAAATCATGCTTTTGGAAAGGTATACTTAAAAAATGGCATTCATAGGAATAATGGCAAAGTCTAACGGCGATTAAAGGTATCAAAATGTTACCTATTTTGGTTTAGAAATGTGTTGGACATTCACTAAGGGTATCCATCCCGAAAAAACCTATAAAAAGAATCATTTTTACGTGTAGACCATGCCAAATGGTAGAAAGAAAAACTTTTTTCTTCGGGTGAAGCATTGCCATACTTGTTTGTTCCGGAACCGTGATATTCAAAAGTGCAAGTAAGTTCTTCATTTCTTAAAGAAATGAAATATTAGCCCAATAGTTTTAGGACTAAATATCTTTAACAGTATCTTGTGTCTTTGCTTTTGATTTTTTGGTTAATTTTAAATATAAATGAGGAAAATTAAAGTGATTGATATCAGGATGAACAGGTTGAATGCAAAAAGAATGGGACAATAGCTAGTGGGTTTAATGGCCTCAACACTTTAAAGGTGAAAATGGAAGCTTTAATGGCTGCAATTCAAATCTTGTCATAACTCACAGACTACCATAACCAAAAAAGGTTCAGTTCTTGATCAAAATGGAGCCAAATTCACAGGAAACAGAGAAATTTCTAGCCATGGCTGACAGAAGGTAACTCATTATACACATTTGATTCATAATTGATTCGTAATTTGTTTGTTTTTTTGTTCTTGACTGTTTCTCTAGTCTTAGATCTCGAATTAACACTTGCCCTTTAAACGCAAGCCATTCAATCACTCCGGCGAAACCAATTGAGAAGAAACCACCGCAGCCGCAGCCGGAACAGAGCACCGCCATGAAAAGGGCTGTTCTGTTTTTCAACAGTATATTGCTGGCCGTCGGATCCTGCGGCGGTCCCTTAATCACGCGATTATATTTCGTACACGGTGGAAAGTGCGTGTGGCTTTCCAGCTGGCTCCAATCCGGCGGCTGCCCAATTATTTTCATCCCGTTAATAATTAGTTACTTCTTTCGCCGCCGTGCCGCATCGGGTTCCGGTAGCTCGACGAAGATGATATTCGTGAAACTCCGGCTGTTTCTATTCGCCGCCGTAATCGGCTTGATCATTGGCTTCGACAATTACTTGTACACTTACGGCATCTCACGGCTACCGGTTTCCACGTCGGCTTTGATCATTGCATGTCAGTTGGCGTTCACAGCGGTCTTCGCGTACCTGCTAGTGAATCAGAGATTCACACGGTATTCGATAACGGCCATCGTTTTGATGACGACCGGAGCGGCGGTTTTGGCGTCGCACACGAGCGGCGACTTGCCGGCTGGAGTATCCAATAAACAGTACAGAGCAGGGTTCTTGACGACATTGTCGGCGGCGTTTCTGTACGGAATGGTCTTACCGCTAGTGGAATTAACGTACGAAAAATCCAGGCAGAAAATCACGTATACTTTGGTTCTGGAAATTCAGCTGATTTTATCCGTGTTCGCCACCATTTTATCCACCGTCGGCATGTTAATCAACAACGATTTCCAGGTAAATAAAAACAGAGCATTTCCGGCATTAAAGTGAACTTTACTGGGTTAGTTAAATTTTGTAAGAATTGGAACAGGAAATTCGGAGGGAGGCGGCGGAATTCGGATTGGGGGAGACCAAATACTACGTTGTTTTAGTGATGAACGCCGTAATTTGGCAAAGTTTCTTCCTGGGGGTGGTCGGAGTTATTTTCAGCTCGTCGTCTCTGTTTTCGGGGGTATTAATTGCAGTGATGTTGCCGGCGACGGAGATTCTTGGAGTTATTTTTTTGAAGGAGAAGTTTCATGCGGAAAAGGGTGTGTCTTTGGTGCTTAATCTTGGTGGTTTTGTATGTTATTTCTTGGGTGAATTTAAGAATGACCAAACCAAGAAGCCAACAACGTGTCAAATTACGAACGTTTAAACATTTAAACACCCTCTTATGGTGTGAATTTGAGTATCTAAATTGGATGTCTATAACATACACAAATAGTCGAAAATAAAGTGGGTACAAAACAGGTATAGAATGTATTCTATGTAGCTATCTTCGTCCTAGAAGAATTTGATTTTATGATTTTTTTGTCATTTTGAATGGAAATTCGAAGAACTTCTTCGTCCTTACTTTCGGAGAATTGGATTCTAAGAATTTCTTGGTTGTTCGAGATAATTTGATTCTAAAAATTTTATATCATTTCGTATTTAAGAGTTGGTACACGGAATGAATATAATTTTTTATCGTTAAAAAATGGAACCATAATTTTGTTAGTTGGGAGTGGTTGAGATTGCATGGGATGAGACAGACCATAAATCATAGGAAAAGCACCAATAATTATTTAGTCCCGTTGATACGGATTGAAAAAGTTTACTAACTCCACCAATTGAGTTTAGTATAAAAAAAAGTTTCCAACCCAGTTTACAAAATAATGTGAGCTTATTTATTTATATATGTACGATGAACTAGGAATCCGAATTGAATGATCCACATTTTACTTGTACGGTTTGTCTTGGTTGGGAATCGAACCAAAAGAGCACATTTTACTCTTTTTTTGAGATCAAGACGAACACTACGATTCAAATTGTAAATTGGGTTATGCACATAATTATTGATTATTTGACTCCAATGAATGTGACCTTTCTTTTTCATTTTGAACCTCAAATCGAACCGAATGATGCACATTTTAATCATGTTTTGGGAGATGAAGATGGACGGTGGAATTTAAATTGTTAAATGGGGTCCATAAATCCATTATTTGATTTTTGTCGTTTTTAATGTGAAGCAATATAGGGTGGAAAAAGGTCCTCCAAAGAAGTAGGCTGTGAAGGACGGCACTGAGAGTCTGATAAAGGTCAATTTTTATGGACCAGAGACTACAAAATTGAGCCACATGTCGTTTGGGGTCTAAAATTAAATACCCTCCCTTATTATTATTATTATACATATTCTCCGTCTCCAACTTATGTGGAACGTCACAATTCGTCCCATGTCTTTGTTGAAACTCGTTCCTTCCTCTCTAATCGATGTCATTTCCTTCTCCAATCGATGTGAGATCTCACAATCCACCCCCTTTCCGTTAGATGATGAAAGTCCTACATCGGCTAATTTAGGGAACGATCATGTGTTTATAAGGCCTTTTGGAGAAACTCAAAGCAAAACTACAAAAGTTAATGCTCAAAGTGGACAATATCATACTATTGTGGAGAATCGTGTTCGTCTAACACTTTCGAAGCTTAGCTTCCTTACTAGCACTCGTTAGCTTCCTTACTGGTACTTGTTTCCCTCTCCAATCAATGTGGATACAGGTGCATCAATCTTTTTTATTAATTAAAAGTCATTCAATTTCTTAACAACTCTCGTGTATAGGATTACAATATAGGGTTTAGGGTTTAACCTAAACCTCGTTTGGCACTCGTTTCCCACTCCAATCAACGTGGGATACAGGTGCATCAATCTTTTTTATTAATTAAATAGCCATTCAATTTCTTAACAGCTCTCGTGTATAGGATTACAATATAGGGTTTAGGGTTTAACCTAAACCTCGTTTGGCACTCGTTTCCCATTCCAATCAACGTGGGATACAGGTGCATCAATCTTTTTTATTAATTAAAAGTCATTCAATTTCTTAACAACTCTCGTGTATAGGATTACCATATAGGGTTTAGGGTTTAACCTAAACCTCGTTTGGCACTCGTTTCCCACTCCAATCAACGTGGGATACAGGTGCATCAATTTTTTTTATTAATTAAATAGCCATTCAATTTCTTAACAACTCTCGTATATAGGATTACAATATTTAGGGTTTAGAGTTTAACCTAATCCCATTTTACTTTCAACTCAATCGTTTCAAACGTGGAGTTTAGAGATTAGCTTCTACCCTTTTAACTAGAAATCTATTCATTAAGACAATGACATTCGTCATCCTCAAAAATTCAATTAGAGATATTCAAATAACTCGAGAACTCATCCAACCCAAATCGTAGTAGATTGCGAGCTTTAGTCGAGTAGTTGCTCAAGTATTGAACCCAATTAACTAAAATTTTTAAATTGATCTAAAATTTTTTTCAATAGATGTGACAACAACAAGCACTAATCATGTACTGGTTTGTCCCCACCGATTTTCCGTCCACATTGGTCTGCCATCGTCCATAAATGTCAGCTCCTCTTCCCAATTTCCTCCATTCACAAATTTCTCGATCACAACTCTAAAATGCATTCCCAACCCTCAGAATCTTACGTTCATAATCAAACAAAACATGAACAACCAAACCAATCGCCGGATACCGCCGTCAAAAAGTTCCTCCTCGCCTTTAATTGTGTCTTGATGTCCATCGGCAACTGCGGCGGCCCTCTGATTCTACGCCTCTACTTCATTCACGGCGGCAACCGCGTCTGGCTCTCCAGTTGGCTGTTAACCGGCGGTTGGCCGATTATCTTACTCCCTTTGGTCATTAGTTACTTCCAACGCCTTCGCACTTCCGCCGCCGGAACGACGACGGAGTTGATCTTCATAAAGCCGCGTTTGTTCTTCGCCTCTGCTGTAATCGGCCTTCTCACCGGACTCGATAATTACCTTTACGCTTACGGCGTGGCGCGGCTGCCGGTTTCGACTTCTTCACTGATTATTGCGTCACAGTTGGCGTTCACGGCTGGGTTTGCGTTTTTGCTGGTGAAACAGAGGTTCACGAGCTACTCTGTAAACGCCGTCGTTTTACTGACGCTTGGTGGGGCGATTTTGGCGTTGCACTCTAGCGGAGACCGGCCGGCCGGAGAGTCGAATAAAGAGTACATCGCCGGATTCTTGATGACGGTGGGGGCGTCGGTGTTGTACGGATTTGTGTTGCCGCTGATTGAATTGACGTACAAGAAAGCTAAACAAAATCTTACATACACTTTGGTGTTGGAAACTCAGTTCGTGATATCTTTATTTGCTACGATTCTATGTACCATTGGAATGCTCATCAACAATGATTTTCAGGTCAGATTTCAATCCAATTTCGAGTATTGTTGGAGTCCCACAATAGCTAATTAAGAAGAGACTATAGGTATATAGAAACGCTAGCTCCATTAATACGAGTTTTTTTGAAAAATTAAAAGCGAAATCACAGAGTGTTACCGCTCTCACTGCATTGACCATAAGAAGCTCCTTCTCATTGTACCAAAATGGAGATCTGAAGAGTTAGATCGTTGATTTCCCCTTTTGGGTTTCACCTCATAGGGAGAGGTTTCCACACTCTTATAAGAAATATTTCATTTCTTTCTCCAACCTATGTGAGATCTCACAATCCACCTTCAGGGCCAAAAGTGAATATATTTTATTGAATTTGAAGGCCAAAAGTCATTGTTGGTCAAAAGTGAATATATTTTATTGAATTTGAAATTAATTTAGAAAGTTCAATTATTTTAGTTGAACGCGTAATGATATCTTATCATCTTAGAAGTTGGAGATCTCATCTAAAATGGAAGGGTTACGTGGGGTCAACCACGTGGTCCAATCCTTATATTTCGATTACAACTTACCTAATACTTACNTATATATATATATTCAAGATTTTGAAGAAAGAATTTAACCTCTTTTTGCCGATAAAGCTATGTTAAAATTAGGGAACAAAATCATTTGATGGCCGGAGGAAGTTTAGGTTCTTGGAAGAAGTTGGAGGATTACACTTAAAGATTGGTATGTGTACTATAAAGCATGGTAGGATTGAGATGGTTGGAAGCAATGGAGGTTGGAAACGATTTAAAAACATACCTCTTTGTTTATGCAAAGAAACTTTCAAATTTATTGATGCAAAATGTGGTCTTATTGGTATCTCTTTGAATACCATTAATTTGTTGAATATATGTTTTTTAAAAAGACTCTCCTCTCTAGTCTCTACCCTTCCCCTTCCTCTCCCTTTCCTTCCCCTCAACCTCCTTTGCTGCTACTGCCGCTGGTACTGCCATTTGTTAGATCTTCTTTTTTTTTTTTTTTTTTTTTTTTTTTTTTTTTTTTTTGGGAAATCTAAAATGATGAACATTGGAACAGGCAATTCCAAGGGAAGGAACAGAGTTTGGGCTTGGAAAGACGAATTACTACGTGATATTAGCGTTGAGCACCGTAGTCTGGCAATGTTTCTTCGTGGGTGCCGTCGGAGTTATCTTCTACTCTTCCTCCCTGTTTTCAGGTGTAGTAATTGCTCTGTTATTGCCGGCGACGGAGATACTCGCCGTCATCTTTTTCCGGGAGAATTTTCAGGCGGAAAAGGGCGTCTCACTGGCTCTCAACCTCTGGGGCTTTGTGTCTTATTTTTATGGCGAGTTTAAGCAAAGCAGCAAGAAGAAGCTGCAGCTACCAAGAACTCAAGGAAGTGCTATTCAAATTCCCAATGTTTGAAGATTCTGTATGTAGGGAGCTACTAGTTTTAGTGATAAACCACTGTCCAAAAATAGCAATAATAAAGAAGAGAGTTGAAAGTGTATTAATTTCATACAAATATTTGTGATCAACTCTCCCAAAATCACTACTCAAAGAATCTTTAATTTGTGGGTCGTTGTAATTATTCATAGCAAAAGGCTCAGCCGCTGAGAATCTCAAAATGGCTACAGTGCTCAAGTGTTGCGAGTAGTTGCAGAGAATAAATGGATCAAACCTACAGAAAGCTTGTGGAGGAAAGAAAAGAAAGACCTTCATTCCACAAGAGATTCAAAGATCGTCCATCTACTTGTTGTAATATCTATATAAATTTTCCAAACTAAGTGTAACTCGGGTAATCTTCACGAATTTGAAACCGCAACTCGGGTACTGAAAAATTGACCAGCAAACATTAGCAATAGGAAATCAAGTTCACAAGACACAAAAATGAACGAGGGTTGTAACTGTTTGAGCTATGTTCATATTGGTTAATTGATAGCTTATCATCGATAGGACGTCTTTTTTTATGTAAAACTAAAGATAGTAAGCTTATTGCCTGATAACATATTCAATTAATGTATTTAAGACTGGTTTCCAAAAACAGTTGGTGATTAAAACGACCAAATAAACTGGAAAGAAGAAATACCAGAGAATAGAATACCTTGTATCTATCTACATTACTTTATTGAATGAATAGGTGGACTTCCCACTTCAACGGTGACCAGCCAAAATATCTCCCACTGCCACTTCTGGACCTCGCTCAGCCCATTGTTTTACTCAGGAACACAGCGAGCAAGATAAGTAGGGACAATTCAATAACAAATTTAGGTTCCCCAACATGGTCAAGAATTTGTTGCCACCTGAAAGTTCAACCAGTAGAGAGCTGCTGATAAAGCCTGTTTTCATTTTAGGATCTTCATTACAATCAGCACAGAAGAACAGGTAAAGAAGTCATTGAGTAAGAAATGAAATGCTTCTGATTCAAAAAGTGTATTAAAATAGAACTTACGAAGTAAAGTGTGGGTTGGGGTGGGGGAAGGGACCTCCGGAAGTTTTTTAATAACAAATTATGGAGATTGAGAATTTGTCTAAAACCATTTCCATATTTTGGGGTTAATTCGTCTCTGCAGAGACAAATTACCTCCCTCCTATTACAGTTTGTATACTGGGAGCGAATAAGCTCCATTCCACTCCTTGACCCATGTCCTAATCATTCTAATGTAGTTATTAATGAGACTGCCTATCCCTTGGTTGAAGAGCCAACAACGCGCCCTCCCCTCCCCCTCCCCCCACAGTACATTTTAAAGTATATTTAATCTAGTTTTCATTGCACATAACAATGGTGAAAATCATACAATAACGTGGAGCGTCACTCTAATATTCGATTGACACTAAATTTGATGAACTTATATCTTTCACTTAAAAAGACTTGAACTCTAGAGCCGCTTGTCAAAACTCATGAAGGAACCCCAATTTTCAAGGTCATGTGGCCTATCTTGCCCCCCATTAAGCTTGTCTTTGACACTCTCGGCAACACTGTTTAGGGTTGACAATTTTGGCAACACTGTTTAGGGTTGCTTCTGTTCTTGCTTACACCTTAGCTTGACAATTTTGCTTGTGTTGGATGATGCACTGTCCTCCTCTGTCGCATCATGACACTTCCCTCTTGGCTCTCAACATGGCCTAACAGGTGACACTCACATGTCACTACTACTCTTGACTACAACATGGAAATCACAACCTACTCTCTTCTATTATGGGTGTGACACGAAGCATCCTAACAAATGCCAAGTGTTTCAGTGGGTGCGTGTTATGCATGGAGGAGTCTATAGATGATGTTGTTAAAAAGGAGAGAACCAAAGACCATTCTCACTCCTAATTTCTATTGTTTTGTGCAACCAAAATGAAGAATTTACTATCCATAATTTTCGTAATTGTCTCATCACTCTTAAATAGCAAGATAAAATGTCTCGATTACTCGATTACAGTTTTTTCTCCCTCGCCATGTTAGAGCTATCTTTAGTGTGCTTCAAGGTAGTTGCTGAGTCAAGACATAAACTACGATCCTATGTTAGAATGTCATTAGTTATTTGTTTCAGAAGATTTCTCGCAAGGTTCTAGGAGGACTTAGAAAAGGTGATCGATCTACATATCCTTCGTCAAATGATTAATAAATAAGCATAACAGCAAGAAGGGAGATACAGAATGAAAACATTAGGCATGCAGGGTACATAAGGAGTCAACTGACCAACTTGCTTCATTTGAGTTGTCAATCCCATTCTTTATTTCTTCTTCAGCAAACTCTTCCAAAATGGCACGTTGTCGTTCACTTATTTCACTAAAAAACCATGAAAGAAAACGTGAATCAGTTCATACAGAACCGGCAGCATACTGTTTCAAAACTTCTAATAAAAATTGTGGAGACAACCAAACGGAGATTATCATAATGCCAGAGAAAATATGACGAAGAGTAGAAAATAAAAAACCAAAACCTACGTGGGAAATTTAATACGGAAGCGCACATATTGATCTCCACGATCAACAAAAAGTCCATGTTTTGGCAATCCTGGACCAGTTCCACGGTTAGGTATTCTGGCTTTTCCCTTTTCTTTTATTAAATCAAAAGTTCTTCGAAAAGATGGGATGAAAAGGCATACCTTTCCCTCTCAGTATTAAGAGCTGTCCCGGCTGAACGCCTTTTGGTATCTGATTTAAGAATAAAAGCAACGTCAGGTGAGTTTAAAACTTTAAATTGCATTTGTCGTGCTCACTATTTATTTTCGTGAAAATTAAATGTATAAATAATAACTTCGAAAATGATTGGTCTTCTAATTAGTGCATCTACAATTTAAGGTACATTTTAATAACACAATTTATCCTACACAAGTAAACTGATACTAAAATAGCAACAAAAAAAAAAAAACATTAGCACTTTCTTCTCGCTCTCTTGGTAACTTAAGAACCCTAGCTAATTGATCTAAGAACTCTCATGAACCCCTCATGGATGTGCAAACTCCTATATCACAAATGCTAAAACCCCTCAATCAAAATGACTTCATCCCGAATGATTGTTAATCTTGGGATTTTTTCTAACAATCTTAGCCAAAAAAGATTATCAAGAATTGGAGATGCATAAGTCAGCACACCACAATCTCTTATCCATGGCATTAGACAAAGTAAATCCCTCCAATTTAGCCATTAAACTTTAAACAAACCATCCTTCAACCTCCAGATCCTAGCACTCCTGTTGGAAGTCAAATCCCACGACTCTGAGAAGTAAACTTAATATTACCGAAGCGAAAAGTTTATGGAGTCCAAAAGGGCAAGTTGAACTATAAGAAATATTTTCATAAATTATCCACAGATCCAACCAAAAGACGTCGGCTGAGGAGAAGCGGGCCCGCAACTAGAGGCTTTAGATCAGCTTATTGTACTCGAAGTCCGTCTAACCCAAACTTACTCGCAACAACTGGCTAGAAGCAAGGATCCAATGCGACACGGGAGTCCAATAGTTTTGATTTTACTTTCATTTTGGAGTTGTGTTTCTAACAGAATTTTGCAATTTCTCTCCTTACTCTATACCGTCCAATTGGATTGTCATTGTGAAATTCCTTCTACTGTTCTTGAAAATCTGGTTCTCTTTGGCGCAACAATAGCTTTTTTCTTAAAAGGAAAAGTCCTAAATATACCATGTTTTCCTTTACTCTCTGAGTACAGATTTCTTGTAGTTGCAAGCTATTTTGAAATAAAGGAAAACAACTATGTAAGAAAAAGAATTGATAAGAACAATGATTTTAAGCATTACATTTATTTCAATCTTGCCTGACAACGTTGGAACCTCAACCTTGCCACCAAGAATAGCCTGAAAGAGCAATTTGAAGCCAAATTTGATGAATATAGAATTTATTGACAAAGGTAAGAGCATTTAATGAATAACACAATAAAAATAATAAGTAATTAACTATTGTACAAAAAATAAAAACAAGATAAAAAAAATGAGAAGGAACTCAAAAGAAGAAACAATTCCCGCAAAGAGACAAAAACCCCGACAATCCCACGAAATAACTTTCATTTCTTTTAATAATTTGAAAATGAACACAATGGATAGTAAGTATGGCGTACTTCCATAAGACAATATGAGAAAAAGATGTTTACTTGGAGACAATTAGTAAAGAGCAATAACTTATAAGCCAGTGGAGGGAGATCATTCCAAATTTCTAACCAGCATAAAGGTCAAATCTATAAAGATTGAATAGAGAGAAAAAAATTAATTCAGAAGAATGCATGACAAGTGAGCAGATTCGGTTGACCGGAGAAAAACTACCACAACTAATGAGAAGCATATCCACTCGAGAAGAAATAGACATTCAAACTCCAATAAGGATTTAATTTCTCACTTGAGTAAAGCTGACATTAGAATCCACATAAATGTCCACACCATCCCTCTTAAAGACACGATCTTCAGCAACCTAAAACATTGAAAAAATAATATTAGAATAATAGGGAAAATGGCTATCCCTTTATTAATCTAGCGATTTGACATTCATGACTAAAAACACTAAAGAAAACAATTCCATTAAAAGTAAAAAGGAAATCATGCGAAGAGCACATAATAGCACACTGCCCTTAATTTAAATTGAACTCAGTACTAAATAGAGATCTTTGTACATGGCATGAGAAGAAAATTGATCGTGGAAATAATGAAAACAGTTTAAAAATACTTTATCTTTAAAAAAAAAAAATCTATTATTAAGAAATATAGCCACAAGGTGTTTAATAAAGAACAAGTGAACAATCAAAGATCAAACATACGTTATTTATTTTCATATGAAACGAAGTTTTAGTTTAGATGATGAAGTTCCAAAAGGTAGCTATCAGTGTGTTTACAGAAAACAACTCCAATATGATATCAAATATAAGTTAGTGGATCGCAACATTGTTGAAGGGCTTAGTTCTCTTGAAACAGGGAGAAGGAACAGGTGGTCACATGGAGCATAGTTAGCAAGTCATGTGCAAGTGCATTTACAAGGACAGACATTTCTAAAGTAAGCATAAGGAAAATATAAACGAG